AAGCAAGTTAGTTTGAATGTATATCTATAGAACTAGACTAAGGGGCAAACACAGTGGTATTTGTGTTCACCTACATCCAACATTACCACATTTTTAGCTCTATGTTTGGTCCCCACCACTTAGCAGCTCTTTAGCTGCTAAATGCTCCACTAGTCTCTAACATCAGTCAGTCGGTAGCAAACTTTCCTTTGACACTGGTGTAAGTAGTGCCCACAAGTGATGCACAAACAAATAACTGATCTCACTGATTTATTTGTGCATGTTCCACTATTTGCTGTACACTGTCATGCCTCCTCACCAGTGACAGCCATGGCCTTATGTTTTCAGGCTGTCTTGAGGGAATTTCTTCAAATTTGCCACAAACATCCACTTGGACTCAAGGATGAACTGTTTAGAAGTTGGTGTTCAAAGGTCAAAGGTCACAGTGATCTTACTCCTGTGAATGTGACTGGTTGGCAGAGGCATACAGCTGCAAAGTGGTAATTCCAGTAGTTATTTGCTATTGGTCGTTTACTGGTTCTGCTAGTTGAAAGTGGAACTACTGGATAGCATGTGATAGCAGTATTTTGACTGGTTGAGTCAGATTGTTTCAGGCACATTTCCACTCTACTACAGGGGCCAACATCGAGTGCAAGCTCAGTGAAATTCACTTCCAAGCACCCAGGTTGCATGTAATGTTTCATGTATGATCGCATAAGGCTGCCGAACAGTCACTGTTCATCAGTCATTAATCCTTTAGTCTATAGAATGTCAGTCCAACAGTCAGAGCCCAAAGATGTTCAGTTTACAATGATATGAAACATAAAAAAGCACAAATCCTCACATTACAGCAGCTGGAACTAGAAAATGTTTCGTATTTATGTTTTAATCCCCTGTCAAAACTAATTGATTAACTGACTGATCCTCGATGTCTTTATACTGAATATTAAAGTAGACTGGAATGGAAAATAAGTACTTGCTAATGAGGCCAGAAAGCCTACAAACCTTTAGCTGAGTCACAGCTGCTGGTTTTCTGTCAAACTGTCCAGACTTCATGAGAATTACCCATCACTGACCCTCCTGCTCCTGACGCACAGCAATAATTCCTGTCCACCCTCACTGTGTCTGTCCATCTCCAACCTTCAGTCCTTTTTCCTCATCCACTTCCTCCCCCTGGCTTCTTTCGTTCTCTCACTCCCCTCCTGTTTGTCAGGAGCTGGTAATGAGAACAGTGTAGGAAGGCTGCTCAGTTATTGCCTCCTACCGAGGTCCTGGTGATATGAAGCGTATTGCTGATCTCTTATCCTCATCCTGTTTTTAGCCTGTTTTCTATCACATTCTTTGCCATGTGTGACTGCCACTGTAGGCAGCTTACCAAAAAAGAATGGTGAAAATTACAAAACAGCAACAACAACAATATAAACTTAAGCTGAGGAAAGGCAACATATTCTATCACCATCAGGACGTTCTTCCCTTAGAGTGGCCCATATCCCCTGGTCTTCACCTTTGAGAAAACAATATAAAAATGTAGTTAGGAAGCTGGTCCACCACAGTGCAGGTCAAACCACTGTAGTGGCCACAGGCCAAAGAGACAGGAAATGCAGACCTCAAAGTCAAGCCACAGAGGAGGTGGAAACCAAACTGCCCTCTACACCCGCACCATGGCAAATGGAAAAATAGTTTTAACCCCAGACCTAATTGACAATTTGACACATTTAATAGTGAACAGGCAGTATGAAACAGTGCAGCTGGTGATATATTCAACAGGCTGTAGCTGCACTGCTTGCTGTTACCTGGTGCACACCAGTGGTAAACTAGAGAAATGCATTTCCTGTCGAAAATACGTGTGGATGCTATGTGCTGAAGGATCGCCCTGAAAATGCTGAACATTTTGACACCTGAAAGGCATAGCTACCTGAAAGTATGCTGAAGTACAATTTTCCCATTAATTTGAATGGGGGAAATTTTCAAAATAAAGCTAAATATTTCAGAGGTATGAAGTTTAGAAAAATTCTGAATAGAAGCATGAATGTCCTTGAGCAGCTGATAATTTTGATACCTGAAATACCTGAAAGTATGCTTACTGTAAGTAGAATTTCCCCATTCATTTGAAAGGGACAAACTTTTCAGAATAAAGCTAAACATTTTAAAAATATAATGTTTTGAAAAATTGTTAATAAAAGCATGAATGTCCTTGAAGAGCTGAACATTTTGATACCCGAAATAGGTGAAGGTATGCTGAAGTAGAATTTTCCCATTCATTTGAATCAGGGAAAACTTCAAAAATAAAGCTAAATATTTCAGAGGTATGAAGTTTAGAAAAATTCTGAATAGAAGCATGAATGTCCTTGAGCAGCTGATAATTTTGATACCTGAAATAGCTGAATGTATGCTGAATTTGAATATTCCCATTCATTTGAATGGGGCAAAATTTTCAAAATAAAGATAAATATTTCAAAGGTATGAGATTTAGTAAAATTCTGAAGAGAAGCATGAATGTACTTGGAGAGCTGAACATTGTGATACCCAAAATAGCTGAAAGTATGCTGAGTGTAGAATTTCCCCATTCATTTGAATGGGGCAAGATTTTCAAAATAAAACTAAATGTTTCAAAGCTATGAAGTTTAGAAACATTCTGAATAGAAGCATGAATGTCCTCAAAGAGCTGAACATTTGTGTGTTTTATCCTTGGGCTAATGTCAACCTTTGGAATACACAGCAGTCATATATTGTAACAATACCTGAAATAGCAAAATTTCACATTGTGAAATCTATGCTCTGAATTTTCAGAGCAGTCTTCACAATGTCAACATCACTATGATTTGACTGAGAAACAATTTTTCCCATGGTGATCTTGATGGTCTGTCTTTAGAAAAAAATTCTTGAAACTAAGGTTCAAAAGATCATGTCTAACTATTTAGTGTGATAAATATTTAAGTAGTTAACAGCAGTTAACAGATACCAATTGCGTCTGCGAGACAGAATTGTACTGCATTTTGGTAGTGATCGTTGTAGGGAAGAGATAAACAGTAGATCGTAACATTTTCTGCTGCCAAGCTGCTAGCAGGATGGGGCAGACTGGCAGTGCCAGCGCCTCCGAGCCACTCCATATCCAGCTGAGAATCACCTGTCAGCTCCGCTGGGAGTGTCTGCAGGGAGAGACACAGGAGCGAGAGATGCGGCGATGAGCAAACGTGACATCTGCATTAAGTCTAATATATACAGCACTCTGTTGTGTTATTCCATTGTTGTATTATGTCAAGATATAAAAAAATTGAAGGAACCGTGGCGATTTATAATTACACAGACGTTTTCCTTCCAGCATATTTTTTTTGACTGCAAGCCTAAGTAGCAGTGAGACGGTACGCACCACAATGTGCAACTTACGCAAATACCATCCATCTCTTCGCAATGACAATTACACAGCTGGATTCTGACAATTTTCTCTATGAGTTTCATGCATTATATGTGTATAAAGCTTAAGATTGGCATAATAGGAGCACAAAAGCGGCAATGAGGAAGAGGAAAAGCACAGAAAGACCTGCTAGAACGGGTGTCACGTGACCGAGAGTGTCCCATAGGGTTTACATTGTGCCATTCATTCCTGTGGAGAAATACAGAAAATATAAATGTCGATTATAAAAAAACGTATAAGATATCAAGATGATTGTTGCACCAGTGGTAGCTGAACTTCTCACAATATGAATAGAGTTAAAATGGCGTTTCTAGCCCAAGGTATGCCAGAGATATTAATGTTCAAAGACGATGAGGCTTTCAAGACTTTCCCATTCATTTGAATGAGAAAAATTTGTGATGAAAAAAGCTGAATTTATTAAAAAGTATGAAAGTTATAAAGATGATTGTTGCACCATTGGTAGCTGAACTTCTCACAAGTTGAATAGAGTTGAAATGGCGTTTCTAGTCCAAGGTATGCTGAAGATATTAAGGTTCAGACTTTGTCCCACTCATTTCCCATAGGAAAATGTTTGTGAAAAAAGCTGAATTTATTAAAAAGTATAAAAGTTATAAAAAATCTGTATACAAGTACACATGTCCTTAATAAGATGAACATTTTGACACTTTAATGGCCTCTCTAGGTGAAAGTATGCTGGACTAGTTGAACGCCGAAGAACAGTGGAAGAAACCAGAATAATAAATAAAGAATAGGATAACATAGTGTGGATGCTTCATCAGCATCCACACAATAAAGAACAGGATAACATAGTATGGATGCTTCACAGCATCCACACAATTACATACTAAGAATTGTAATGTTTGCTCAGTTTTGTCAATACCAGCATTTTTATGAAGATGAGAATGAAATGATTGTTACAGAAATGTAAGTTTGTAGCTGTAGGACAAGCAGAAAATGCTTTATAGATTTCAGAATTCAAATGCAGTTTTTCTCAACATTTTTTCCCAAAATGCCAAATTAACGTCAAGTTAAATTATTTGGGCCTGCAAAGATTAGCTTGAAATTTTGGAAAATTATTTTTTTATTGCTCATTTTATGTTTTATTTGCTTTCCTGCCAAGAGGTTTGGTGAGAAAATCAAATGTATCTCTCAGTTCCTTTGTGCAGAGCAGGCTAGCTGTTTCCCCGTTTCCAGTCTTTATGCTAAGCTAACTGGCTATAGTTTCATACTGAACAGATTAATATCAGTCTTTTCCTCTAACTCTCACAGAAGCAAATAAGCTCCCCCCCCAATATTTCAAACTGTTCCTTTAAGGCAGGTTCAGCATTAATGCTTTTGTGGCACATGAGCCATGAAACTCACATGGACAACTCCTAAAAACCTAATGACCTTAAACCAGTAGTCAGGAGCTAGCTACACCTGCTTTTTGCCCCAGGGTGAAATACATTTCAATATTTTAGAATCCAGGAGTTTTACTTGTAATGAAGTCACTTTACACTGTTGTGTTGCTACTTTCAAGTTAAATATCTGAATCCTTCTTCCACTGCTGCAACACATAATCCAGTCTTCCTGTCACCAGCTCTTTCTGTTTCCTCCCTGTCTGCAGGGATATCCATGCCAATTCCTGTGCTGGGACTCAGAGACCACTCCAAGGTCTTCAAAGATGGCAGCTGCCTGCTGACTGATAACAACTTTGTGCTGGTTGGCTCCTTTGTGGCCTTCTTTGTGCCCCTCACCATTATGATTGTCACTTACTTCCTGACCATCAACGCCCTGCAGAACGAAGCCACCCTCTGTTTGGACCAACTGGTCCCGAGGCCAAAATGGAGTACGACATTCACCTTGAGCTTCTTACCGCAATCCTCGTTGTCCTCTGAGAAACTCTTCAGGCGCTCAATAAGCCGGGAGGCTGGCAGCAGAGGAAGCAGCAGCGGCCTGGGAGGCAGCCGAGGGAGCGTCTCCAGCTCGCTGTTTGGCCGCCGCACTATGCAGTCAATCAGCAATGAGCAGAAGGCGTCCAAGGTCCTTGGGGTAGTGTTTTTTCTCTTTGTAGTCATGTGGTGTCCGTTCTTCATCACCAATGTGCTGGTGGTGGTGTGTGACCCGGTGGTGTGTGACGCAGGACTCATGGGAGGTCTGTTGAATGTGTTTGTCTGGGTCGGATACTTGTCCTCTGCAGTCAATCCACTGGTCTACACCGCTACATTCGCTGCCAGTACCAGCCCAAGAAGAAACCTCTGCAGCTCATACTGGTGAACACCATACCGCCACTGGCTTATAACTCCACCCAGCTGCCCTTGGATGACATCGGGAAGCTACGAAATGGAGAGGTGCACTCCAGTGCTGAAATGAAGGAGTTCGCTTTACCTGGACAGGAAACAAAGAAGTCTAGGTCGAACAAACTTCACAAAGATGAAAGCTCTGTGTGAGAGCAGCTAGTGGAGCCCCCCTGAAACAGAAGGTCGTCAGTCGTGTGCAAGTCATGGAGCAGACAAACTGTTCGTGACTTCTGTGGTCACAGCATTCTGGGAACCAAAGTTTCAAGGTTTGAAGTGCCAAAGACACTGAGGACATGTATAAAACTGGGAATATAGAAAAAACCTTCACCTTTCAGTGCAATATGAACATTTTCAGAGCAAGCTAAGAAGATTTCACTTGTCAGATTCAGTTGACTTCTGATCTTTACCATCCCTGTCAGGGTCAGCTGAATTTAGTTTGAGAGAGAAAGAAAAACATACCATTTCTCACTTAATCCCTTTATAAAATATTGACTACAAATATTTTCCAGATTAAAAGGAGGCACGGTCCATGTGAATGATGTGAGACACTCTTGGGCATTTCACTACTTCAGACAGAATCTACTCATTTTGCAACAAGCTGCTTGGACATGGATGCTCAGCTGCAGTGACCTCGGCTACCCCTTCATTCACTGAGGTGGCCTCTACCTCCCGTCACACCTTTGGGTGGATCAGCAGGGATTAGACTGATTTTCCTGCCACCTCATTAGATGTTAACGTCAGAGAGGGAGCTCCAGGATGAACTTGACAACCCCGAGCTCTAGACACATGCAAAAGTAAGAGAAAGCTGCAGAGGGAGAGAGAGGCTCCTACGGTGACTGTGTTTTCTGTGGAAAACAACAACATGGAGAATATAAGGTTGAAAGCACAGGCTGATGAGGTGATGATGCTACAGAGACAATGGCGTAAATAAATCTATATTTGTATTTTGTGCAGATATGTGAATAAGTGTATCTGATTGCTGAAGATAAAAAGACTCTCCTTTAAGTGATGAGATGATTATTGTTACTGTGATCGTGCAGTATGATGATCAAATTATGAGTTTAGCAAGCAGGAAATGAGAGGGTTTAAGTCAAATGTATCACTTTTTATTGTGTTCTTGCCAAACTGTCAATGCACCCGTTTTCCAGAGTTTTTCTGAAATATCAAGTTTTATCTGTTTATCCAACAAATGGCCTGGTGGTTGGTCGCCACATGTTTGAATACTGATTTAAAATCTGCTAATATGAACCTGCTGTGTAGGATTGAGGAAGGACAAAAGCTGGATTAATGCATAAAGTTGAGCTTCTGCCATGGATGTATTATCATACCAGAGCTGCAGACTTGGATTTGCCCTCCAAGATTGCATACATGACATATACTTGATCCAGATACTTAGATATCCTCCACTTTAGTGGAAGGAGGAGAAACAGATGCACTAACCCCAGTGGCTTGACAAGTATAAATCTGTTTCACGTCTGACCACACTGAAGTACCGTGTTAAACTGCTGATCTACTTGCTTTTAACTACGCATTCATATCATGGCTACCTCACATATCCTGCGTTCCTAGGCATGTCCTGAGAAATTTATGCAATGCACTGAGATTCAGTTCAGCACATGACCAGTGGGTGCAGTAAATGAGGCCAGCACATATATGTGTATATATAACAGATGGATGATGCTCACCACTTCCCTCCACTATGCATAAGTGGAGCCAAAATGGCGTGAATATGGCGGCTGCCACTTTGACATTTTGCAACCAGATTCTGTGGAGCGGCAACCGAGTAGTTGAGTGACGTATCAGACAGCTAATCAAAGCTGACAAATCATCAAATAACTGATTATAAACAAACTTAGCAGAAAAATGACCACTTGTTCACACATCAGTGCTATCCACCTAAAACACCAGAAATCACCTTTAGGAAAAATGTATCTAATTTGTCCTTATGTAATTTTTAGTGTGGCTCATCCACTAACATGGAGGAAGTGGGACCTATGACTTATAGTGCAACCAGCCACCACAGTGGCTTCACTTCTGAGAGCTGTCAGGTTGTCCATCTTTCTGTGCAGTCTATGGGCCAGCAGCGGTTCTGGATCCACACATAAGTGGAAGAAAGCTTTGAAGAGAAACTCATAGATCTGACAAACCTCCACACTGCTGTCACTGCCGTTTCCTCTTATCTCATCACCACAAACACTGCAACCTTCTTGAGTGTTTCTAGTTTGTGTTTACATTGTGCAAAGACTGAAGCTGAGCGGAAACTAGTTCATTTTTTGCCAGGGATGATTAGGCCCTCATCTGCAACCTAATGGATTTCCTTCTTACACTGACACAGGTGTCGGAGCTGTTGGCTATGTGTATGTGCTAGTAAAAAGCAAATGTATCACAACTACACATTGTATGGAAAAAGCATGATGTTACCACTAGGAAGCAGAACAAGCGTAGTTCAGTTGGTAAACCGGTACAGCGACTTTTCAAATTAATCATGGAAATAGTAATGACTGACATTTTTTGCAGGTGTAGGTGTCAGATCAACAGTTTAACAGACATGGTTTTAATAATGGCAGTCTGCAGTTTTGCTACATCCATGGCTAGTACAACGATTTTATGGAGGAGTTTACTTCCAAGATGCTAAATATCCATTTACTATGCCTGGCTTGTAAAGGACTTGTAATTTTACTAGCCAGTAACATTTTTAAAACATCATGGCACCGGTTTAAACTTTCTACCACAAATAAATGAGTAGAAACAGACTGTACAGACTATTTAATTTTGGACAAGAACTCTTCACATGTCATGAGAAGCTCAGGATATACAAAGAGTTTAAATACAGTGAAATGATGAATTCAACCAAACAGAAAGACACAATGCTCATTGCACTAGACATCATACAGGGTGACTTTAAGGTGTTATGTGAAGAGAAATGCAACACATTCCAGCTGATGCACGCAGGAGGCAGGTTTTTTGTCATCACCACACCTGTTATTTACACCAGCAGAGGAGCTGTCAGACGACTGTGGCTCAGAAGGAGATTCCGGCAACAGAACAATCAGGCTGCTGAGAAACAACAGCAGGTGTCTGCTTTTAGCTTTACAGCAACATTTAGCAGTGATGAACTTGCAACTTTCTCTTGCTGAGTCACAAACTGCATTTACATAGAAACAGAAAAGTCAGATGCTGTCTGTCCAAATGAATGGGCTGTTGTTCACATGTTAGATATGTAACAGAGACGGGGATAATCAACTGCCACCTGAAGTTCTGTTTTTATGTTTGTTATGTGGGTGAATATTCTGTCTTTGGACATCCCATTTTGTTCAGTGAGTGAACAGAGTAATAAATCTTGCAGTTAAAGGCAAGTTCAGTTTATTTTACAATCTGGGTTTTGCGGTGGGTTAAATGCTGAGATGTGGAAACGTGGCAACTTCTTTACAACAACAAACCCCCAATGCAGCCAAATAATTCCAATCACTTGGAGGTGAAACTGAAAGTCAGCTGGTTAAAGCTTTGGTACAACTTGCAACAAAGTCAAATAGTCGCCTTTGTTTTCTCTTCTAAATCTGTTTATTGAAAATGGGGATCAGTCTGACTGGTACATACAACACTTATCAGTTTAATTTATAAAAAAACAAAAACCAAACTGCAGCCTGGTTCCAGATAGCTGCATCTCTGTCCACGTCTCAGGTTCGTGCTCAATGGAGGGTTAAAAACATTAGGCAAAAATAAAGACAGATATTGTTTTGTGCCATAGAAAGAGCAACTCTCAAATCAACGCATTTGTATATTAGTCAAAAAAACATGAAATCATTTGGTTGTTGCCAAGAGCTAATGAGAACACTGACCCAGCAGGCAGTGTTTTTATAAAAACATTAAGTACGGCT